AAACCTGTAATAACAAGTAGTAAATAAATGAAAATGTAAATGTAATAGAATGCAATATGTACAAAATTAAAATATTATGATTGCATGTAATAAAAAAATGAAAAAATTATAAGTGATATAGTATAAGAAATGTTAAATATGTAATGAGATACTGTAAGTCATAAAAACGGTGATACATGTAATGAAAACTTAAAGAAAAATATTAAAAAGTTAAAAGAGGTAATAGAGAAAATGTATAAGTATGAAATGGATAAACTGTTCAATGTTTAAAGAAGGGTTGTATATTGGAAAAAAAAAATCTCCCATGCCTTGTACATGAGGGTAAATCACTGTAGAGTTTACCCTCATGATATAAACTTTTCCAAGGGGGGAGGTATGTGACCTCCTGGGAAATTAAAGGGGAAGATATGGAGTCAGTGACAGATTTTACTTTCTTGGGCTCCATGATCACTGCAGATGGAGACAGCAGCCACGAAATTAAAAGACGCCTGCTTCTGGGGAGGAAAGCGATGACAAACCTTGACAGCATCTTAAAAAGCAGAAACATCACCTTGCCAACAAAAGTCTCAATAGTCAAAGCTATGGTTTTTCCTGTCGTGATGTATGGAAGTGAGAGCTAGACCATAGAGAAAGCAGACCACCGAAGAATTGATGCCTTTGAATTGTGGTGCTGGAGGAGGCTTTTGAGAGTCCCCTGGACTGCAAGGAGGACAAACCTATCCATTTTGAAGGATATCAACCCTGAGTGCTCACTGGAAGGACAGATCCTGAAGCCGAGGCTCCAGTACTTTGGCCATCTCATGAGAAGAGAAGACTCCTTGGAAAAGTCCTTGATGTTGGGAAAGTGTGACGGCAAGAGGAGAAGGGGACGACAGAAGATGAGATTGTTGGACAGTGTCTGTGAAGCAACCAACGTGAAATTGACACAACTACGGGAGGCAGTGGAAGACAGGAGGGCCTGGCGTGCTCTGGTTCATGGGGTCACGAAGAGTCGGACACGACTAAACGACGAGAACGAAGTCTTCTTCATGTTTCCCCTTAATTTTCCCTAATGGCTCTCTTATGAGGCGTTCAATCATGGCTTCACTGGTCAGCCCCAGAGAGCCCAAACCATATCCCCCCAACAAATATGGTCAGGGCACACTGGGATGGATCAGGGTCATCCTGGGTTTTTCCAGGAGCCAGTCTTTAAAGGCTTCCTTCTGCCAGTTTTTAGGGAGGTATTTTTGGTGGCATTTTATACTTCAAAGTCCCTTTGTGTTTGCCAAAATGAAGGGATCCAGAACTAATTTATTGCTTTTTGCCTGTCTCTAATGCCTTAATAAATCAGCCAGAGACAGAGGGATGCAATAGATATTTGTTGGTTTTCAGCTGAAAGCAAGCAAATAGATACAAACTTCACTCACAGAAAACATGTCGAGAAGAAGGGATACAGATACAAAAGTATATGTTTTCTATACAAAAAGTATACATTTTTATAAGGCAAAACATGAAAGAGGGGCTAAGGGGGTTGGGAGGAGGAGGAGGAATGAGATTCTGTAATTGGTAGAAGTTCCTGCAGGTGCTCCGCTGTGGGCAATAATTTATTCCTCTGTGTCACCACTGTGTCAAACACTCGGACTTCTCCAAGGGCAACTTTCCAATTTAGAAATACTTTAATTGTAAAGTGAAAGAAACTCAAGCGGACATCCCCTCCTCCAGTATAACTGGTTTACACATTCATATAGCAAAGCAAGTTACAGAAAGCAAGATGGCTATGGTTAGGCTGAGATATATATTTTATATGTATTAATTTGACCCCTTCAATATTATTGTGAGCCAGCTACAGCCAGCTGGGGGGAAGGAGCTAAGTGCCAGCATAGGCAGGCCCTCTCAGCAATAGCAGAAGGGTTGTTGTTGGCCTTGAAGGAAACACCTGAGGCAGATGAGGGTGGAGGCCCTAAACCCACCCCCAGAGAAACATCGGTAGCTGTAGCTGAGGTAGATATAGAGGTGAGTGAGCAAGGAGAGGGGGAGGAAGTACTGGACATTTGGAAGGATGCCTGGAAGTTTTCATCACCTTTGGAGAATAGAGAAAATAGTCTGCCAGGGGAGATGCTGAAAGGAGCTTCTAAGAGGCCTGCATCTCCGGAGGATGGATGGCTTATCTGAAGGCAAGTTGAAAGCTGAAAGATAGAAGCTCCCCAGGTCATCCAGTGCTGCACAGCCTCCTCTGCTTGCTGGATGCCATGCTGGAGCACTCGGCTGGCAAAGACTGTTTAACAACCTGGACCTTTCAGTCAAGACGAGCTGCCATGGGAGTGAAGTAATTCCTTTGGAGCTGGGGGCTGGGACAGAATATTCTCTCAGCCCTGAAAGGACTGTAAGGATAGAAAGCTACCAATTCCATCTCTGCTGCTTGGGGCTAGAGGCCCCATCCTGCAAAGGAATACAGAGAGACTGTTTTTCTTTTCTTTGTATGCTGAGTCCAATAAAGCTTAACTGATCACTAGCACCTGGTGCCTCATCATGGATGAGGACCACTCACAATTACAGATTCTCAAATTCTAACATATGCTGGAGATGAAACAAAGATGCTTGTGTTGGAATTGTGAAGCTATACAAAAAGTAAGGGTAAAAGTATTTGAATAAATTAGAGAATTATTAGGAGTCAACACTGAAATGGTTGCAAAAACAGCATTTTTCTTGACAATAGAAAATAATACAAAGAAAAGAAAAGAAATTGTACTGAACCTGATAACTGCAGCTTGACTGCTTATAGGGAAAAACAGGAAGCAGTATCAGAAATTTCAAGTTGCAAATGTGGTATAATGAAGTATGGAATACAGCAGTGGTCCCTCTGGTTGGGAGGGATGGGGTCAGAGTGGCACCTGCTTGGCCGTGGGGTCGGGGCGCTTGCATGGTGTGCGCACACACTCGCGTGCATGCATGAAGGGGTGGGGGACACACACGGGGTGCGCATACTTGTGTGCATGTGTGAAGGGGCTGTTCGGGGTGAGCGCATGCGGTGGAGCAGGAGATCTGTCTCCACCCCCTGGTCCGGCGAAGGCCACAGATCGGACCCATGGAATATAGCAGCTAATGATCAACTAACTTCAGAAATTAAGTTTTAAAAGAAAGAGAGAGAAAAATTAACAGATTCAATGAAATATGGGAAGAATTTATAAAAGCTGTATTGTGTAAAAGGTAAAGGAAAACATGGGTAATGAAAATATGTATTTCTGGAAGGATTTTGGGGGTGGATAAATAAGGAAGATTACAAGTACACGCAAATGTATGTAAATATAATGGTCCTTAGGGTGAGGGGTGCACCAGTATTTTGTGTTTATGTATTAAGTAAGTTATATATATATGTTGGTAGTATATGTGTTTTGGTTTTGTACTGTAAACTTGTAAACAATAATCTAATTTTAAAAAAGAGAGAGACACTGCTGTAAATGAGTGTATTCTATGCAGGGAGTCTCATCTTGCAGCACTAACTCTTGTTTAATTTTGAACAATCTCATTGTAGGGTTTTTAAGAGAAGAAAAATTCAGCAGTGATTTACTATTGCCTCTTTCTGTGTAGTAGCAACAAACATTAGCTTAAGTGTCACTGCCTTGTATTTGAAAAATCCTCTTCCAGTTTCACCTTCAGCTATTGCTTTTGCTCCATAGCTGCTGTCTAGGAGTTTCTCTGTTACCATGACCATTGAAACTCCTGTTCTGCTGATGCAACTGAAGATAGTGGATGCGTTTTAGTCTGATGTTTCAGGTGTGACTAGTATGCCTTGGGTGGCCCTGCTGAGAGTCCAGATTCATAATGGAGTCTATACTCCGAATGGCATTGCTCTCAACTTCCCGAGTGGGAATGGCCCCTGCTTTAATTCTATTGTACCACTTTCCCCCTTCTTAATGCCATTTTCCAGTGTCTTCTCATAAACACTTGAGAAGTAACTTAGGCTGAGAGGCAGACACCAGCTCAAAGTCACCCAGTGAACTTAATGATTAAAAAGGGGATTTGAACCTGAGTCTCTCCAGTTCTAGTCTTACTACTGGTCTTAACCACTACAGCACACTGGTTCTCCAGTAAGTACAAAACTGAAGTGTATGCTGGAATTTGTTCAACATTCATTTATAAATGCAGAAGATCTTGACATCTAAAGAAAGAATACCTGTGGCCACTGAACTTCATTAAATTGTTACTTAAAACAGAGATTGTTTCTTTTCTCCACCCTGTGCGTTGTACTACGCAGGGCACTTTATTTTCTGCAGAAGCTAGGTTTTGGAAAAATGAGTAACCCTTTAATGGTACATTTGTCAATTCTTACTGTCCCCAAAACATGAATTTGCAGTGACTGAACTAATAAAGCATCTATTCAGTAGTGCAGTTTTTTCAAAACTTGATCCTTTCTGATTAAAAAATATTTTGTCACGCGCACACAAGACACGAAATTCCAAGCCAAGGGAAATTCCAGCCGCCTCGTCTCTTCAGACGAGTACTTCCCGATCCGCACACTCTAGCTGGGGGCTAAAAAGGTTCTCGACATTGGTTAAATTCCAGCGGTTTTAATCAGGTTTTTATTGTCAGTACAGTACTTTTCTGCGGGGCGGCTGGGCAAGTCCTCCCTCCCACTTGCTCGGCACCCCCCACCTCCCTTCAATAAACCTGTTACTTTAAAGCATTGCACTCAGCAAAAACGGGGCAGTAATGTGTTCCCCACCTTCTTTTTGTGGATCTTTATTTTTAAAAGAGGGCATTTATTATTATCGTGATTATTGTTGCTAATCGCGCTGGTTCTGATTGGGTCAGCTCCCCCGTCGTTCTTTCTTTCTTTCTTTCTTTTTCTTTCTTTCTTTCTTTCTTTCTTTTCTTTCTTTCTTTCTTTCTTTCTTGTGTGGCCCAGACCGGCGCTGTATCCGTGAGAGCGTCAGGCGGGGGG